CAGCAGCCAAAGCCATACTCAAAAATTGGGTACACTGAAGCCGAGTGGAAGAAGTGATAGATGAAATGGTCGAAGGAATGCGAGAAGCCCAACAAAGCAGGGCCCTTGAGTGGCTCGATGAGCTGCATGGACCATGAAGATTCATCCAACGAACCAAATCCTCTGGGCAGGATTTACTAACTGAAGCCCGAATCAAAACACTTATGTCTCGAAAAATGCACAAAGTCACCGCACTAATAGACAGCGGGTGCACTGAGAGTTCAATAAATCGTGCTTTCGTCGACAAGCACAATCTCCCTACTCGTGCCACCACAGCACCAATCCCAGTCTATAATGTGGATAGAACAAAGAACCAAGCCAGATTGATTACCGAGTATGTCAAGCTTCGACTCACAATCAGGGACCATTCCGAACGAATCGATCTGGCGGTAACTGACCTAGGAACCAAAGAAGTGTTCCTAGGTCATGATTGGTTGATCCGGCATAATCCGTTAATTAACTGGAAGACCGGACGCATCATCTTTGTGAGATGTCAATGCCGGAAAATTCTATTCATTCTGCCAGATGAAGATCCCGAGGACCAATGGGATCAAGAGATGGAGGATGGGGAAACCATCCTGGCTGTAGACCTAGAAAGGGCCATTAGCATTTGCACTATACACCATGCCAATGACCTGGCTGCAAAAGCCAATGCAGGAAAGGAGGAGAGGACATTCAAAGAAATGGTACCCAAGTGGGCACAAGACTTTTGGGATTTATTCAAAAAAGACAGTTTCGATGAACTACCCAAATCTAAACCCTGGGACCATGCCATTGAATTAATCCCCAATGCCAATGCCAATCTGAATTGTAAAACATATCTGCTCAGCAACAATGAACAGCAGGAACTAGACAAATTCCTCGAAGAGAATTTGTCTAGTGGGAGAATTCGACCATCAAAGTTGCCAATGGCATCCCCCTTCTTTTTTGTAAAGAAAAAAGATGGAAAACTCCGACCAGTACAGGACTACCAAAAACTCAATGAGATAACGATCAAAAATCGTTATCCACTCCCTTTGATCTCAGAGTTAATGGATAAACTCCAAGGTGCTAAATACTACACCAAACTAGATGTATGGTGGGGGTATAACAATGTACGAATCAAAGAGGGGGATGAATGGAAAGCCACCTTTCGGATGAACCGCAGCTTGTTTGAGCTGACAGTGATGTTCTTCGGACTCACCAACTCACCAGCAACCTTCCAGTGGATGATGAATGACATCTTCAGAGATCTCATTGCCACCGGGAAGGTTACGATCTATTTGGACGACATCCTAATCATGTCCAAAACTAAGGAAGAACACCAACAACTGGTATGACAAGTACTCAACCTTATGAGGAAACATAAACTCTTTCTCAAGGCCAAGAAATGCGAGTTCGAGGTCTTGGAAACCGAGTACCTCGGAGTTATTATCAGCGAAGGGAATATTAGGATGAACCCTGTTAAAATGGCTGGGGTAACCGAATGGCCGGAGCCAACAAAGAAAAAGGAGTTGCAATCATTTCTTGGATTCACAAATTTCTACCGGCAATTTATTCGGGACTACAGCAAAATAGTCTGACCCATGACACAATTAACTGGAAATTCCCCATGGACTTGGGGAATTTTCCAATGGGCAGCATTCGATGACTTAAAATGGCGACTGGCGATGGACATTATCCTAGCCATTCCAACTCAGGATGGAAAGTTCAAAGTGGAGGCAGACTCCAGCGAAGGCGCTATTGGAGCTGTACTTTCATAAGAACAGGAAGGCAAATGGCGACCAGTCACCTTCATGTCAAAGACACTCACAGTTACGGAGCATAACTATGAAATCTACGACAAAGAACTCCTCGCCATAATGCTTGCCCTATCTGAATGGCGACATTATCTCATCGGGGCAGCCCAAACCTTCGAAATCTGGACAGATCATCAAAACCTGCAGTACTTCTGACATCCACAAAAACTCAATCGCAGGCAAGCCAGATGGGTAACAGAGCTATCGCAGTATGAGTATACATTGCATCACAAGCCTGGAGCAGCAAATAAGAAGGCCGACCTACTCAGCCAAAGGGCCGACTATGATCAAGGAGAAAATGACAACAAGGAAGTCGTCTTACTCTGACCAGAACACTTTCATGCCATGATCATGCCCATAGAAGGAGAGATGCATAAACACATCAAAAGCACCACTCGGGATCCACATAAATGAGATCAAAGAATTGCTCCATCACTTAATCATGAACGAGGACTAAAGAAAGAAGGGGGATTGATCCGGTATGACGAACGAATCTACGTTCCGAGAGACGAAAGACTACATAGTGATATCATTGCAATATGCCACAATCATGCGACCACTGGACATCCTGGGATCGCTAAGACCAAGGAATTGGTCTTGAGGAAATATTGGTGGCCCAAAATGGACTATGATATCATCCGATATGTCGAAGGTTGCGAAACTTGTCAATGAGGCAAAACTTCAACACAACCCAAAGTGGCACCGCTCCACCCAAATGAGGTCCCTTCATCACCATAGACCCACATCTCAGTAGACATGATAACTGGACTACCCAAAAGTGATGGCTATGACGCAATCATCGTCATTGTTGATCACTTCTCGAAAGCGATCATTCTGATTGCCTGTTCAATAGAGTTAATATCTGAAGGATGGGCAAAAATACTGTGTGACGAGGTCTATGCAAAGTATGGCATGCCTCAGGTAGTACTTTCAGACAGGGGACCACAATTCGTCTCCAAATTCTTAGATGATTTATACTGACTGCTGAACATCAAGAGGAATGCTTCGACAGCATACCATCCCCAGACAGATGGCCAAACAGAACAGGTCAACCAAGAAATTGAAAAGTACTTAAGACTTTTCATCAGCTATCAACAGGATGATTGGACAGAATGGCTCGCTTTAGCAGCATTCCAACACAATAACAGAGTCTATTCAGCAACAGGAAAAACACCATTCTTTATCAATTATGGGAGGAACCCACCAGTTGTGCAAACCAAATGAATTCACACAACAACACTGGCTTCAACGGATTTTGCAACAACAATGGCAAAAATCCACGAAGAAACCAAGACCACTCTGGAAAAAGCCACAAAGACAATGAAGAAACAATATGACAGGTACTGATGAGAAGCACACGAATATTCAACCAATGACAAAGTATGGTTGGATACAACAAATCTACACCTTCCAAGACCAAAACAAAAATTAGCAGACAAACAGACAGGCCCATTCAAGATACTAGCTAAAATCAGCAAATCAGCATATAAGTTGCAGCTCCCAGCAACTTGAAAAATCCATAATGTTCTTAACGAAACATTATTGACACCATATGTCATGCCAGCCTTTCCAAACCAAGAACGACCACCACCTCCTCCTCCAGAACTAATCGACAACGAAGAACACTATGAAATTGACAAAGTCCTAAACCACAAACTCAGAAAGGTTAAAGCATGAGACGGAGGCATGAAAACAACTGTTGACTATCTAGTCAGCTGGAAGGGCTATGGACCAGAATCAAACCAGTGGGTCAACAAAAAATATATGGATGCCGAGGAAGCAATCCATGACTACAAACAATGTATCAATAGGGTCAACAACAGGGTGGTCATGTTCAACATTATCCCTGAGGAAATACGTTGACCTACCATCAGCAGAAGACATGCACAAGAGGACAATAAAGATGACCCTGTAGAGACATACAGCAAAGAGCAAGAATCAGTCAAAGTCTTTATGAACCTGCTACCCGATGGATGGGTCCAGCAGATCGGCCATCTCCTTCTACAGGGGGGGGGAGTACCTGCCTAAACTTAACCATTGGGACAATGGTCTTAAGGAGGGGGTAATGTTATGATTTTTCCATTTTCTTTTTGTTTTTCTCTCCTTTTTCCAGACTGACCCCTATTCTCACTTAGTCAGGGTGCCTAGGCCAGCGCTTAGGACCGTGGGAAGCTTAAATCAGCAACCCGATCCGTTTCTGCTAGCACACGCTGCTGTGCACTGTGAAGGGAGAGACAATACTCCTTTTGTCAATAAATTGCAGTGCAGCAGTAACAGCACAACAGCTTTTGTGGAGCACCTGGCAACAGCAGGGGTAACAGCCTCATAGCAGACAATAACTATTAAAGAACATTTATTTATAGCACGATACAGAACAGTATTTAAGTAGACAGCTTTCACTGTGGTAGCTCAGCATTAAGCTAAAGTTTATTCTTCACCATCTTATCTCAAGCTATCTGTATAACGCCTTGACAACACAACACTGGTCACACACAAGTGGACTCTGACAGTATAACCCGAAGTGCGAGGTTCTGTCAGTTTATCACATGTCACTAGTCACGTGAAATTTGGGCTTAACAGCCTGACCTTCTTCAGAAGCTCCACCCCTTCAGAGGTGCATCAGATGACATCAATCAATTTCTCATCAACTGTGAACAATAGTTTAAGGTATATACCACTTACCTTGGAGTTGACATCTACAAGGTCACCTTCACTGCCTTCTACCTTGAAGACAAGGCCAAGACATGGTGGATACTTATCTCCTCCTCTTTCTATTCCACCATCAGACTGAATCTCATGCTGCCTTGCTGACCATCAGATTCATTGATTTCCCATGTGCAGGTAGTGTCTCCTCCCGGATCCAAGATCCAAGATCCAACCCGGGCTTCGTTCGACTTGTTGCCTTTTGTCTATCCACCTTTCACTGTTTGTAAAGCCATCACCTGCGTTGAAGGGCTCTCTGTTCAAATCGTGGCATATAAGATTGTAGTACATTTGTACTTGGTTGTACTTGGATGCTGGCGCTAAGCACAAGTTATCTGCCAAGGTCTCCGCGCTCCTTGTTAGTCGCAAATACTGGCATGTTTCTGCCGAAAACCTAATCAAGTTGCCGTCTGGATCCTTGTACTAATGCAGTAAAAGCATTGTGCCGACAGTATGCCGAGTCAGCCTTCTCAGCTTCCCTTCTACGACACCCTGCGTCCTTCCCTTTCCAGTCAAGCAACACTTCCCTGTGAATAAACTGAAACAATATCTGGCGATTTCAAGTCCGAAATTGCGGTCTGGGCACTTCCGATTTTTGTTCCCTAACGCGAACATCATATATCATTATAGTCTCACGGCTATTGATACTGATATCACCGAACACTGGATGGTCGCTTACGATACCGCCCTTTCTGCTCCACTCAACACCGATGCCTTCCGTCCATGCTGCAGGGGATGGAGAGGGCGAAAACCCAGGGATTCCGCCCATGAATGCCCAAGGGACACCTGATGACTCTGAGCACGTTCTCCAGCCTCGAACGACGGCTAATTCCCCTCGGCGACAGAAAAAGGCAGCTCGCAATGTATTTGGGGTGCAGCAACGTGAATTCAAGGTCGGAGGTGCGTTACCCTGTTCTTTTTATTTGCTGCATATCTCACTGAGAGTAAAGGGAATGACGCGTCCGACTATGAACAAAAATTTCCGGAAGATAAACAGTACGAGGAACTGGGTCCGCTTGCTAGAGTATGGCGGACATACCTTGAAGAGTGTGCTGCATTTGACACAGAGATGTTGGATGAATGGAGGGATGGACTAGATGTTTTCCTGGTTTTCGTGAGTGCAAATACTGTAATTCGAATTTTCCTTTGTTGACGACTGAATGAAAGGCTGGTCTCTTCTCCGCCGTAGTCACTACCTTCGTTGCTCAGACATCGCAGAGCCTTCAAGTCGACTATGGTCAAGTCACGGCGACACTTGTGTACGAGCTCATCGACGTCCAGCGCGCGGCGGCCAATGGCTCCTCCGTGAATGACGTTCCCCGTTCAGACCTTACTCCGTTTTCGACATTTAGTCCCACGGCGTCTGATGTGTTAGTCAACGGACTGTGGTTTACCAGCCTCTCATTCAGTTTGACAACCGCACTATTTGCTGTCCTGACAAAACAATGGATTCACCAGTATGTCACCGTTCCGTCGGGGACACCACAGGACAAGTGCCGTGTACGTCAATTCCGGTACATGGGGCTCCAGCAGTGGAGTGTGGGTCTCATTATTGGGTTGTTACCTGTTCTCTTGAGTGCGTCAGTTGGAGTGTTTTTTCTGGGTCTGGTTATTTTTTTAGTCCCACTGAAAGTGTCGATTGCATATATCGTCGGGATCATCGCCTCTGTGTCCTTCGCTGCGTATTTCATCACGAATTTCCTTCCGATTTGGTACGCTTCATGCCCGTACAAGACGCCATTGTCGCATTATGCGTTCCTTCTCTATGCCTACCTCGCTTACCTCATATCCCCGGTCTCTCACGAGTCACCATCGTCGGAGCCTCAGGCCATCCATTCGCTGCGAGACGTTGAGCTTGTAGCTGTAGAGTCCTGTGCAGATGACATCGATGTACATGCATTGGCCTGGTTGTTCGGCATGTCGTCCAACCCTAGTGTACAGAGCATTGTTGTGCAATCAACCAGTGCTTTACCGCTGAGATCAGTGGAGTCTCTAAAACAATACGTGAAGGGAATTTTGGTCATATGCAATACCCTCATTGAACGCATGCTGGATCATCCTCAAGAAAGTGTGCTCGATCGCCTTGTTCGCACAAGTCTCCGTTTTGACATCGACGCATTCGACTGGTGGTCCGTAGACCGAAAAAAGGAAAAGGATCAATTTTCTCCAGGGGTCTATGCGGAGCTTTTGTGTATCCGGAGCCAGTATGGTACTTCAAGTCCTGAAGAGGTCGCGGAACTGGTGAAAAATCAATTGACTTTTTCCGGACATGAACATCTGCATCTGCAGCCTATTGTATGGGCCTATTTGCTCCAGAGATTACCACCCTTTGATGTACATGATGGTCTTCTTCAAATTTTCTTCCATGCAATTCCCTCATCCTACTGGCATGCGAACTACATCCTGCCTCCTCTTTTCCTGGCAAGGGACGAACTGAAGATTTGTTTGACTGGCGACTCCAGAGATCATGACGTGGTTGATCTTCCAACAGCTGTTGAAACGTATCTGTATCCCTACATTGCCGATGTCATATTGCGCCGTTTCGGGGCTGTGAAGGACAGTGTTTTCCATTCTGATCCCGCCGACGAATTTCCCGCACCTCAGGATCCTCGACTATACGCACTTTTGACGATAGCCGGCTCTCCTTCTACGCAAACGGTGTCCATTGCCGATCCTTACATTGATACTTTTTTTGGAACGGTTATTCGAGACATTGGAGTGTATATGGGTGTTGGTTCATCCCGACTATATGATGATCCAGGGTACGACAAGATGCCTTCTTTCAGACTAGATTGCAATCGCTACGCAGTTCTGAAGCTGCTGTATACATTGGTGTTATCTAAGGACTTCAGTGGCAGCACTTCGATGCGAAGTGAAGATCAGAGTATCTTGTTGGTGATTTTTCTTCGCGTACTCAAATCGACGTTTCCTCGACCTCGATTTCTTCCTGACTCGGAGGACTGGTACACCCCATACATGGCTTCTAACTTTGTCCGAATCGCGTTCCAGGATAATCCATGGATAACTCGATCTGGACCCACATACCTCTCTCACTTTAAACCGGCAGCAGAACTTGCTACTTTTTTCTTCCAGTTTCCCCCCATCATAAAGGAGGTCTTTTCTCATGTCGTTTCACGGCGCCTTCTTGACCAGATATCGGCCAACCGACATAACGCTTATCTGGAACTCTCAGATGCTCTGCCGATAATCTTTGATGCCTTTATCACCGGGCTGGCATCAAACTCTGGGATCTCCCAAATGTCCATTGACTACCTATTTGAATCCGACAACCTCTTCAGGGCTTGTACAGCACTTGTTTCATGCGACAAAGCTGACAGCCTCCGTCGTCTCGCCCTTCTTCGTCCAGCAAATGATCCCGCTTGGCCCGAGTGCCTGCAGAAGCTCGACACCGTTTCTGAGCGTTTTGAATGGCCGAGTTTCATGGAGAAGCATGCTCGTACTATCGCAGACTTCAGGGAATTCGTTGAAGGAGGTTGTGTGGGAGACTTTGGGGGTGGGTATCCACCGGGACGAGCTCCGGATAAAGAGAAGCATCTGATGGGTTTACGGCTGATGATGAAGTCGCCACAAAAGCATTGGCATCGGCTGCGGCGGCCTCGCAGTAGTGGGGTGACAGCGGAGGGAACGATGCATAATGGTAGCAAGTGTGAATAGATTGTCTTCCTAGATAATGTATGTATTGATGTCTTTCGTACGCATTTCGGAGTATCCGTATTACATAGTGTGTATTTATGAAAACATGTCGTGGTTGAATCCACCGCAAACTTTGTGAACGACTGATTAATAGTGAATTCGATGTCAGATCAAACCTTGGTTGAGCATTTGATAGTAAAACTTGGTGCTGAAATAAATCTACTGACCTTTATTTGCTACTCGACGTGTTGTTACACTTGTAAGGCTGCAGCTATTCCTCAAGGAAGATATTGGAACGGGACCGGCGGCCCGGTGAAGTTTGGCACCTTGCTTGGCTATGGCGCTTTGAATCCTACTACTCAGACTGTCAGTTTGATTCCGACACCACTACAGACTGAGGGCATCCAGGGACAAGAGCTGCTTTGAGGGTCAAGACTCGACCTGCCGTGCTTGGATATTTTGCATGCGTCGGCTTGAACTAACTTTCAATGTCTACTGTTGCTAGTTGATGATACCACAGGTGCCAGGAATGACTTTCGCTGTTGACGCCAACCGGACTGCTGTCGCTCAATGTTCAAAACGCTGAACGTTGAACCACACGTGCATCGGCCGAGCTGTCGCATTAAGCCGACGGCAAAAGTCGCCAAGCCTCAGAACTGCCAGAACTTCGGAGGGTCAGCAACAACTACGAAAGTTTCAGCACGCTATTCAGAGCCTTTTCTTTCCATTGGTAGGCACAATAATACGTACGGCGCGTCGTTGAACTTTGTATTGGGATCAATGCATTTCCAGTAGAATGCACACCATCAATTAGTAGTGCACTACATAAGAAGATCACCACTGACAAATCAGAATCCCTCCGGCCGTATAAAAACGCGATCGTCCCCGAATAACATATCCAATCTCTCATGGAGACCCCCATCTCTCCTCATGTCGACCGCAGCGAACTCCAGACACAGCCTTGGGGCAGCAAATGGAGGTCGTCATACTGGTTTGTGACATTTGTGGTTTGGCTAGGTACGTTTTACTTTATCCTCAATATTGGGACCTGACCTATAGTAAATCAGGTGTTGCCACAGATCTAGTTGTATATTCAATGGTCATTCCCGTCGTGCCTTTCCAGCTTGAGAAGCTTGGTTACAAGGACGTGGCCTCCCTGACTGGCTGGCTACTTTTCGCATATGTATGATTAATTAGCCTCACTCAATTGTCTGCTCGATTGACCGGTCATAGTCTGGAGGCCTTGCGATAGGTAACGTTGTATTCCAGAAATAGCTCTGTTACTAAATTTGGTTTACAGCTACTATTCCCGTCGCGGTATGGTCTGAAAAATACGATGCACGGAAGCTTCCTCTTGTCGCAGGGGTGTTCATACTCATAGGCTCGCAAATCATGTTCATGGAGGCTCCAGCGTACTGGGTTATGTGTCTTGCGCGAGCTCTTCAAGGTATAGGATCTACCATGGTATGGGTTGTTGGGTTGGCATTATTGTGAGTTATGAGCCAAGGTCGCGTTGCTATAACTCATATATTACCTCGTAGATGTGATGAAGCTCCGCCAGAACTTGTCGGAAGTGGATAATCCTAATTTTCCCTCCCTCTCAAACTTGAATCTAATGCTTGGCCTAGGACAACTTGGTATCGCAATGTCGGGTCTTTCTCTTGGGTACGCATCGTAAGACTCCTTTCCTCGAACCAGATCATAGCTTCCTTCCAGTGCGCTTGTCGGGCCTCCTGTAGGCGGCGGGCTATACACACGCTTCGGTTTCCGTGGACCCTTCATCTTTGGCATCATAGTTGCCATTTTGGACCTGGCCTTCCGGTTCCTTATCATCGAAAGTACGAGTGCCAGCAAGCTCCGAACCAGCACCGAGAAGCCTGACAATGAGATCGCACTGGAGACCAACGTTAACAGCCTGAGGGACATTGGAGATGCCATCGACGTGCAGAACAAGAAGGTTTCGTTCGTGCAGATCCTCCGCCTGTTGTTCCGTGCGCACCGTGCGCTCGCCGCGGCGTTCCTCACTTTAGTGTACGGGTGCGTCGCATTTTCTTCACCTATTCCGTTTGGGAGCGTAAATTTCACTCTCTTTCCATAGCATCGTCTACGGTACCCAAGAACCAGTTATTTCCAGTCACTTGAACAGCGTCTGGGGCCTGAACTCCGCAGACGTTGGTCTCGTCCTTTTGACCTCTGTCATTCCGACTCTTTTCGGTGAGCAAGTCTCACCGATTTCTTGCACCCGACGGTTCTAATTTGAATGGAAGCGTCACCTCTCTCGGGTTGGTTCTCAGACCATCAAGGCCCATCCGTGGTCATCTTGATTGCTCTGATCCTCGCCGTGCCGTGGTACGTTGTAATCATCGTAGATGGCCACCTTGCGCTGTTTATCACAGCTTATGCATGTGCTTGTGAGTGACCCGAGACTATTACCGCATTTCTTCTAATGTTCTCAGATTTCTTTGCATCTGGGGTCCTGTCCCCGCTGACCGCTGAGCTTGCGTCTGTCGCTCGCAGTATAGATGGCATTGGGTGTACGCAAACGAGGGCCTCTGCTGTCCGTGACTAACCTCGTTTATGTAGATGCTTACGTGTACGGAGCTTTTAATTTGGCGTATGGGATCGGCACAACAGGTGCGGTGTTTGCTTCGATCCACCCTTCCCTTCCAAGCTCATCTCCTCCTCTAGTTGGACCCGTTGTGGGCGGTCAGGTTTGTTCGTGGTTCTTTAGAGTGGGATCGGTTTGCTGAGAATCCGCCATTCCTAGATGTACGACCATATTACCAGAGGATGGCTGGCAATCTGTTTGTTGGCGGTTGGGTTACTTGGGCTTTCGGTGGTTGTAACGTTCGTCTACGTTGGGGAAAAGCCTGTCGCGCAAAGCTTTATCCGCCGTATTAGATTACTGTAGACTAATCCCGAAAACTCAATATAGCGGAGACGAGTCTCCCCCATCCCCACTCAAAGGCCATCATTGTATATTGACAAGCGACTGCGAACTTCAGTGAATGTCCACGTATTTCGGCCGCGCTGTAATTCTCTTCGCAGGTAAGCAAATCCACAATAACACGATTCCAATTCCAGAAAGAATTGCATAACCTTGGTGAACCGTACGGCAATGACTGTTGCACAAGATATACACAACAAGGTATGAAGAGGTTAGATAATAAGATACAGAAGATAATAGATGCCTGAAGCTGTATGTCTTGATACACGTCGGGGATTATTTTGAGGAGAGTTGTCTAACTAGTGGTCACTGGCGACGATGGGGGAACGAACAAGACATCTTCCCCTTGGACAAGCAGAGAATTTACTTCCATGTGCGACTTAGAGGGGGACTAGATCAGTGATATTGAAAGCCATGTAAGTTTGGTTGAAATCCTTTGACATCTGCAGAATCAGTTTGGGAACGTGGTACGCCAACGCTTCGAGAAGGCGGCGTTGGTAGGACTGGACCGTGAGTCCGTCATTAAAGTAGATCCACATATCGATCAGGACGGGAAGAGTGTATGCGATAGTCCGGCAGAACATGGGCTCAGTAATGCTGGCGGAGACTAAAGGTTCCTGGATAGCGAGGAACTTCATCCAATTTAACAATAAAATAAAAGTGTAACCCCCGGACGTAGGACTATAAGCAAATGATGGTCTATTATCTTTCTTTGGATGGTGGGATCGCTAGGCATTTGCATGGTCGTGCGTCATTTTACATCGAGAGAAGCCGATTGCACGTCGCGGCCGCGACTCGCGTACTTTGCGCAATCCTCGCGACGGGTACACGTGAACGTGACATGAAGACAATTTGTCCCAATTTGTCCAATTTTAAAATAATTTGTCTAAATTGAAATTCTTCGGGTCCATCCCTTACCACTCGCTGCACGCGCCTCTTCTAATGAGTCCCATCCCCATATTCAGCGCCAGCCTCTCCATGGATGCCAGGACCCTCGTACATTGTCGACTTTACTGTGCTATCTGTCTCATTTTTTGCCGACACCTCTCTTTGGGCATTGGTTTCCGGGGTACGTCTCGGAGCCGACGAAAGTATCTTCCTGACTGACTGCCAGACAGACGAATTCACTCCAGTGGTAATGACAAGCTCGATGCTTTTGGCTAATTCAAGGCCGATACATACTCCTTGGGATAACTAGGATACAACCAAACTTTAGTTAATAGGTATGAAGCGATCAGAGATGCTTATTTGGGCGGCCATTAACAGCACTAGTACAACGCTCAGTGAAACATCAAAGGTTGCATGGTACGGGGCCAGCTTGATGGCCCACCACACGACAAGATCAATCACAAAGGCTATTTTACAACGTGCGCGAATCAGTTGAGTCCACGCCGCCGGAAGAAAAGGATTCACAATGATTGCACGGCGGAAAATTGGAGACGAAAGCCGGAAAATGTATATTCCAGATACAAAGAAAGCACACGGGAGACATTGAAAATTGTATACTTTTCCAATAACATTCGAGTGGGGATGCAATCAATTGGACAATGAGCGCCTGGAAGGTGTTTAATACATCTAGAGGTCACAATGAGTGGATAGTCATAGAATTCAGTGAAATAATGTTCACAAGTCACGACGTACAAACAAGAGGCTACAAAACATTATCGAAGAGCCATGAAGATCAATTCGACGAATTTAGCGCAGGCATATAACAGGAAAAAGTACAAGATCGTTGGTTTTGAGTACTGAATTAGTCATTATTAGCTACGGAATGGAGCGGCTTACATATCCCTAGCCCCATAACCATCCATCTTCTCGGCCCAAAATCCCAAATGTCGCTGGAGTCTCATCAAGCTCTGGGAGCAATAAGTACCCCTGACTACAAGCGAGGAGGGAGAGGACCTACCACCCTTTCATATTTATAGACTTCTTCCTTGAGACGAGCTAGAGACACTCTTTCTCTCACAGTAAAGTATTAATGTAGTTCACAGCGCAGGTTCGGTCGCGACGGTTACACGTGATCGTGCCATATCGAGATTTTGTCGGAGTTCAAAATTAAATGGTCGCAGCAAGCGCCTCTTCTCATGAGTCCTCCCCCCAGATTCCTCATCGCCAGCCTCTCCCTGGATTCCAGTGCCTTCGTATATCTCGACCTTACAGTGCTATCCATTTTATTCCTCGCAGGCACCTCTCTTCACGCATAGGTTTCGGGTTACGGTCTACTTTTCTCTTTTGACGCATATAACCAACTTTTTCTAGCCAGAATACATCTGGACTCGCGGTGACAACCACATCATCTCGACATTGGACGTTGTACGCATCAAGGATACCGATATTCACGATCTCTCCTTCTTCAAAAGGCCTTGCATTCAGACCATCGTGAAGAGGAAAAAATGCTGGTTCCAGGTCCACTACGCCACGGATGTGCATGTGTCTTCAAAGTATCTTGTATTTCCTCCAAGGACAGAGGGATTCTTCTATTACCACCAACACGACTCTTTGTCAGGGGAGGTGCGGTTTAGTCTTGCGAACGCGTGCGACACCGGTACGGGCATGGACCTTCTGCTGCTTAATGGCTTGCCATGGTCACTTCCACTGTGGCGTATTGCCTCTGCTCCCAAGTATGAGATTCTGTTGCAAAAGCTCATCGAGGATGGTTTAGTGAGCTCTGAGCTGGTAGAGAGGTGCAGGTGGATGTTTCCCCTGGCGTGGGCACGCGGGAGGAGGAGAGCGACGGTGCTGACGAGATGGGACGACGTGTTCGCCGTTCCTCTTGATGTGAAATGTATGAAATTATGCATAGCCGGGGAGAAGGCGAAGAAAGAGATCTTACTAACGGAGAGTATTTTGGGCAGCTGTGCGGGGAAGTCGACGGGTGTTTATCTCCATTTCCTTTGTCGATTAGCTGCTAACCTTATGGCCAGGCTGTGTGCATGCCTGGATCGAGCATGACCCAGTCCACGAAGTAGACATGGTAAATGTGTTCAAGGTGCAAAATGTGGCAGGGCAGGTTCCTCTATCTCTGAGCCACCGTGTGCGTGCCACGTTGAAGTCGCTGACCGTCTTTTCGAGAACGTGAGTGTAAGCTTTGTGCATGGTCTGCCTGATCTGATCCGTGGCATTGACAGGTATCCATATGAAGTATCCATATGAACTGTAATGTAACAACCTTGTGATCTATGATAGTAAGGAGTCTCTGTTACTGTACTCAAAATTGTGAGTCTCTTACGAGTCTGGTTTCGCGCAACATTGTCTAAGTTGATGGTCTAAGGTATCTTTATGAATGTGTCAATGCGGGCTCCAAATTTCCCGATCTCAGCACTAAAATGGGCGTATACATCAACTCAATAACATTGTATACCCGCTCAGACGTCAGAGAAAACGGATGCAATCAAATCTCAATGGCTTCGAGGCTCTCTGCTGCTGAATAGATAATGTATGAGGGCGATAGCCATCGTGATATGATGCCGTACACGAACTCATCAGTACCTTCGTACTGGCCAATACTTGGGTCGTCCGCGTCGCTCATGCAATACACTAGCCTCCAATGCCAGCACTCCGGCATCACCGTTCTCCCAGCACCTCTCGAAGGATCACTCCAAGCAACCAGTTCAAGCCTAAACACGTTCCCCAAGGCTGGCCCAGCTGCTTTCATGACCTCTTAATCGAGGATCAGCTGGACACGGACGAAGTCTATGACATCCCTTCCGATGTGGGCGCTCAGATTAGCACTCCATCAGCTCGGTGTCCCTTCTACACATCTCCGAGTTCCTTATCCGTCTCCATGTCCAGGTATATGCCTGTTACTGGCCACCGCTCAAACATCAGATGATGACGCGATGACGCGCTGCGAGTGTTAGGCCGGAGGGACCATTTCAGTCCCTCCTTTAGTTTCTGAGGGTGTGGGCGCAACCGCAAGTTTGCTTGTCCCATGTCTTTCCTTTGCGGTTCGTAGGCTGTAATGATATGCCTGCATCAAAGGACCAGTGCCTTCCTGGTCCCTTGGGCCCCGTGAGACCCTGATGTTTTGTCCTGGTCGTCGACGGTGCCATCGACATCAAGCGTGCGATGATGCGAGTCTTTTAGTGCGTGTACAACCTTCTTGGTTCGACCGTCCAGGTTTTTCACAGCTCCGCAGACAAATAAAACCACCATCAGATTAAGGAATCTGCATTTGCTTCGTATTCTAAATCCTAGGTCCCCGTCGACGGTCCAACACTCCGAGCCCCTCGCCTGCCTTCGCACCTTTTTAAGTCCCACTCCAGTTGAATTCTCGGAACAGTCCGAATGCGAATTCGTTTTTTCCATGCATGACGAATACCAATTTCATTCGAGCCGTCGGCATTCCCTTCGGCCCTCTCATTACCGGAATAGATGAATATCTACGCGTCCGGCATGTGGGGAAGAATTGGTATTAGGACAGATTGCACCCTATGATTCCAGATCCCGAGTCGTCATTGTGCGATTTTATGCATTGGTAACAGGGTTCGACAAAAATTTCGCATCGGTGGGTCCCGTCCTGAAGTACGATTTTGGCTGAATCGTGATCTGGCTTTGTAGGGTATAATCTAGGGACCTTTAGTTATTGACATGGACGGCCCGGCGGCCTAAGGATGATTTGCATCGATCAACCGTGCTAACTCCGCAATGTGTGTATGTACCTTCAATGTATGAATTGCATGTGAAGTACATCCCTGACATTACCAGAATTTTAGGAACGAGGTACAGACATGGCACCAACTCTCTGGCTCGCCTCCCTTCCCCTCTTCTTCTGCAATTCACTAACTCTGCAGCCGTAGATCGAATCAAGTGCCAGGGAGGGTTTGTGTGCGCATCCTGTTGGCAAGCTCAGGTGTATGTCCTCCTTGTGATACGTCTGACAGGTCAATGGAACTCTAGTGAGTCAAGCGGACTACGAAGGAGTCGCGACGCAGCATCATGCTCTAGTCACGCTGCCGCGATTCTTTAAAACGACTGTATGTCCTCCCCGATGGAAATTTCCACCGAATCGGATCCACAATACTTACGAGCTTGTCCACTCATAGTGTACTGTGTAGATCCCTGACGTATCAATGAGTCCATGGCCCCGAGGACGCAGAAGTTCGGAATCTTCTGTTTTAACCACTGGTGGGCGTCGACTCGGGAATGATGGAGTCGGCCCTTGATCGGCCTATAGCCGACTTCGTTGTACCATGAATCACGAGGGGTACCACTCTCGATGGAACTTCGACGGCTCCTGTGTAATGGGAGTGATTGTCATATTTTCCATATTTTGCACGTACCTCTTTCCGAATCACCGATAATTGGATTAACGTTATGAACTATAGTGCATAGACTTCTAGCCTGTGCAAGTACCGTCAAAGTTTGAGTTATAGGTCTCTGATGTCTTTCCGGAAATCCTTCCTTGTATAGCCTTGGAAAAGGCATCCTCAATGGCGGGGACGACGATGTTGACTCTGGCATATGCTGGTAAGTAGTACATTCTTTACTTGTGACGGATCTGCGACGAGCTAGGCCCCAGGTCCGATAAGCTAGACAGATATCCGCACGACTCTCCTCTATTGGCGGAAAGAGAATGAATTTTTCGTCAACTCGATTATCCCGTCAAATTTGGTGAGTTTGACAAACTGTTTTTTTTTGACTAGGATCACAAATCTGTCATTATATCAGGAAGGAAGAGTCATCATCGGAAAATTCGCGGTAAGGGTATTGCCGATGGCACCGAGGCCCGCCTCTACCACCGCCCTTCCACTCCCGAAAAGGAATGGACACCGACCTGTTTCATCAATGAACAATGGCGCCACGCGCCAGCTAATACATCTCTACTCCCGGGACATTCATGGTCCCTTGAACGTTTCATGCAAACTTTTGCCTGAAAAATCACTTGGTGACCCAGGTCGGAGAATCATTTGCGATCAACGTTGCGATGAATCAATGCTTACATACATCACCATGAAGCTCAAGGAGCGGATAGCTTGTCTCAATCTCCCGAAAATCCTTTCCTATTCAGTAGCCATCGTTTCTCCTTCCCTTCTGCTCCCGCGAACGCTTTACAAGTCTCCACTTCTTCTAGCCACATGTAACACGCCTACTACGCTTTCCCTCCCTTCTGCTCCCGATGGTGCCAACGTGATAAATATCATTCCTAATCCAAACAAATGAATGTAGGCCGGCTAGTTCGGTATTCCAACTCACCTCCGGCGCATGCGCGTGTTCCACGATCAGTTGGTAATGGTTTCCTTGGTAGTCGGCGTCACGGTCATCTGGCCATGGCCCGAGTAGTCTCAGTCTGTTTTAGGCTAAGAGAATCGAGACGATATGTGGGCTTGGGAAAGAGTAATAAATGCAGTTTGCCTCCTATATGGACACTGCCATTCAGATGAAGGTCCACTTAAATACCTCAGTTGGTTGGTTAGTTACTTGTTCGGGGGGATCGAGGCCAAACTGTATCGCGTTGTCGATGTAAGGGTTGTGCCATCCGTATGAGATTCCGCCAGCGAGCAGATGGAAGTAGGAGAGAGATAGAGTGGGAATCCACTTGGGGCTGACAGATGGAGGTTAGTCCGAACATCATGGATTTTGGGAGCGCCCGGATGGATCAATTCAGTTGGGACCGGCCCAACTTGGGTGGGCAATCTTAATCTGGGGGCGCTCCGCTGAGTCGGTGTGTATTGTGTGATCCTTTCTAATTTTTTTTTCTTACGAGCGTTGCTGTCCCTGCAAAGAACTGAAGTGAAGAAGGGATTCTCTAACGACGACCGGCAGAGTGGATCAGGATCATGCATCATGATCAGGCATTACCCCATCCGGGAGGCCGAATCCAGGCACGCGCGGATAACCGTTTGTGAAAAAAAGGCCGTTATGGTGAACTGCCTCCCGTGATTGATTTCGAGCAGAAGGGCTCAATATCAATAAGATGAAAGGCGCCGTATTCGTTTCTGAATCTTGAGTAGCCCTCTTCCCCCTTCCTTTGTCTTCCTTTCCCTTGATGGCTGTCGCTCCTACTCCTCCTGCTGTGATTACGACGTCGTCGGTGATACCGTGCGAGGGGGACGACCCTTTAACATTGGCCTTGGCACCTCCGCCTGATGAGACGGCAGAACAGAGAGAACAGAGAGAGGCAGCAGAGGCAGAAGCGCAACGACGGAGGTGAGTGACACATGCTCCAGAGGGGAATGTACTGAGACTTTGGATTGTAGCGATGATATTGACGAGCAGCTTCAGAAAGAACGGGAGCTCGAGAAGCGGAAAAAGAGGCCGGTCAAGCTACTGCTACTAGGTCCGTCCGCTATCCTATCCGTACTTGTAATTTCCTTATTCTTTGGGCTACAGGGCAAAGCGAGAGCGGCAAGACAGCCACACTCAAAAGTATTTGGCCACCTTCGCCACAAGTTCCGAACCTCACCTCCTTCCCACAGATTTCCAATTGACCTACGCTCGCCGAGAATGGACCGAGGAACGCCTGCTCTGGAAATCTGTCATCTTCTTCAACCTGGTCCGGAATGTCAATGACATCCTCGACATCCTCGCTCAGGAAATGACCCGGTCTGCCGTTACCCACGCTGACAACAACAGTGACGATTCCTCAGCCGACGAGTCCCCCACTGTGCCGCTAAAGTTCAAGGAGACCCACCGCCTGCTCAAACTCCGCCTCGGGCCCCTGCGCCGAATCCAGACGGACCTCGAGCGGAGACTGGGAAACGCGGCCATTGAACTCAAGACGACGGATGTGATGACTGCTGCGCCATTCAATAAGCCCGCTATCAATGAGTTTTCGATAAACGCGAGAAATGGGTGGAAGACGGCGTTTGACAAGCTCAAGGCGATGCGGCGCCCGGAGATGGACGCTCTGCAGCAGATGAAGGATGACGAGGATGAGATCGCAGATGTCGTTGCAGGGTGCAGAGAAGATATGAAGGCCATTTGGGAGGACCCGGTGATCCGAGAGATGCTTGCCAGGAGGAGGGATAGGATCGAGGATTCTCCTGGATTGTGCGTCTGCTCACTTCATTCCGCCCTTGTCCTTTGCAATGAACATCCTCTAGCTTCCTGCACGACGCCGAACGTATTGCCGTCCGGAATTACCAACCTACCGACGACGATATCATCCGTGCAAGATTGCGGACATTGGGCGTGCAGGAGTATAGATTCATCTTTGATCATGGTGCGTTCTCTTCGGTTTGGAAACGTAGATCTGTCGGTAACGTTAATCTTACTCAGGTCGGACCGTTGGGCAAGAGTGGCGCTTATATGATGTGGGTGGAACTCGGAGCAGCGTAAGAGCTTCTCTTCTTCGTCGACGTCCCAGGGTAACCTTCTGCATATCAGCGAGCAGCGTGGCAACCATACTTTGATGATGGTGAGATATGCCATCTCTCTTATGCTACGAACAGATCCTGATGTCCTCGTTTGTAGTGAACGCGATCATCTTCCTTGCGTGAGTAGCAATCTTATGAACTTGGCCACATGCTGATTGGCGTTTCATTTTCGTGTCGATCAAGTCCAAGTAAGTGGCACTGTCTTTTTGTGGATCAACCGTCGTTGACAGATTGTTGCAGTATCCTGCTTCGATGAGAAGCTAGCAGAAGGTTAGTGAAACCTTCCCTAATCGCGTGGCGCTGAATCATCTTTCCCCCCAGATCGTCGGGTAAACCGGCTTGAAGACAGCTACATGCTTTGGAAATCCGTCTGCGCCTGCAAACTCCTTTCGCAAACACAGGTATAATCTCTTCTCCATTCCCAAACAACTTGACCCAACTCCGACCGTCCCCTCCCCAGATAATCCTTTTCCTCAATAAATGCGACCTCCTCCAAGCCAAACTAGCACGAGATGTCAAGATCAGAGATTTCGTACCGAGTTATGGGGATCGCGGCAACAATCTGACCACAGCTAGCAAATGTCAGTCGTCGTCAATGTGGTTTTTGATGAACAAGTGACTTATGCACATCAAATGTTTAAAAAAGACTTCCAACAGCACTTCCGAGAGATCTTGAGGCAGAACTCGCCCGTGCAAAGACCGTTCTATGTGCATATGACTTCTGTGATTGATACACGGTCGACGGCGGCTACTCTGGGAGCTGGTGCGTCGTTCGAATTCTTTCTTTTTTTGGTCACCAGTAACGAGGTCTGATCTCCGTCCTAGTTGAGGAAACCATCCTTCGCAATCACCTCCGTCGTGCCGATCTTATGTGAACAATGATTGGTGATTATGTGAATTTTTCTCCTCGTCTCGGGGACACCTTCCTTTTTTTTCCTTGTATTATATTCGGTTGGCAATAAGTTATCCTACTGAGCATGTTATAAGTTCGATGGTTCCTTCTACGTATCCCCTCCACTTATTAGACGTTTGTAGTTCTATTTAGGCAGTCCACTATTCTAACAGGTATAGAAAAAAAGCTATGTACGAGATTCGTTCCAGTGCACCATAAGTCTTTCCGTCGAAAACATGACCCCGCACCCGGAAATCGGACGCCAATTGGTTATACGGTACATCAATGGTGGTGCGTGGCAACGAGGGTGGTTCACTGCAGTGCTGGCCCATTGCGAGTGGGAGGTGGGCGGGGATAGTATTCGAAAAAGCGAATCGAGGGATCTGGTACGCAATTCGGTCGCAGCTCCTGCATATCTTCGGAGAAGTTCAATTCGTAGTCAAAGCTTGCTCGGAGTCAACAATGAGCTCCACCAATTCCGGGGTCTTCGCGTTCTTTTGCTTCTGCGCGACGAATTGTGAGTCAAAGAGTTGTCAGGCTTGGGTGGCCCTTCAGCAGACTCTCCTCTTACCATCTTCGGAGGCACCATGGGATATACGCATGACCGTGGAAGTTGGGTAGCGATGGACGTCGAGAACCATTAGCTGTTGCGTGTTGGACATGAAGACGAACAGCAGTAGTCGGCCTGAAAGCTCTGCGGACAACCGTAGTGATCATCATAGAAAGAATCAAAGACCAACCTACTCGATCATCAGTGGAAGAACAAAGTCGACCCGAACATTCCCATCATCCCTCCATCCACTTTGATAAGTAATCTTGGTCTCTTGTTGTTCTCAGCTTGTCTGAGTCAATGCAACTGAACTGGGGTGTTTATCAGCAGTGCAGGGAAGGAGCTTGTCTGTTCTGAACAGCAATAGATGTGTGCGAAAGGCTGACAGTCAATTCATACTGCGGATACACCATCTGCTATTCACACTTGATCACCACCGCTGGGCATCGTTTCCTCCGTTATCACCCCGCTATTGCGTGACCGCCACAGCCGATACCAATGCTTTGGTAGTGAATGCAAAGCCGGCTGTAAATCCATTGGCTGTTGATCTTCATTCGCCGGAGCTTGATGCTCACCCCAGAAGTCCATAGTCTCCCAAGCAATCTCCTTCAACAAATTCCCTGAAGCCCGAGATGGTGCGAGCATGCTTCTCCATGAAACGCAGCCATCCAAAGTGCTCAGAAAAAGTGTCGAGCTCCTGCAGGCACCACTCGGACCAATGAGGATCATTTGCCGGACGAAGAAGCGCGAGGCTACAGCAGCTTCAGTACTGCGTAGCGATTGCAAGATTGCCTAGTCGGAGACAATGTATCTTGTCATACAACTGGGGTGAAGCGACACCCATGTACACCCCAATGGCTTGCATAACCATGCCTAAAAAAATATCAATGGAAGGATCAGCAATGGTTACCGTTCAGATAGAAGGCAAGCTGGCCATGGTCAACAGTAAGCATAGCCATGGAACCTGAGGTGCGGGGAATTCGTCGGCGAGACCAGGACGGAAAACAATGGCTGATCTCTGGAGTCGGAGGTCAGACAAATCTTCAATCCGTCTCTTGCCAAGAAAGATGGAAGGGGGATATAGTTGGCATACCAGTAGGACGGGGGAATTGAACGGAACAAAACTTGAATCAGACCATGGTCTGAAGCCAACTTCAGTAGAAGCCTCTTGAGCAGATAGCCCCATACAATAGTCTGCAGACGAAGCCAATTATTTTCTGATTCAAAGTCATTAACTGAGCTTGTACAAGATTGCAAATCTCGAAGGTGGTATCACAGTTTAACCTGTCCGGGTCCATATATCGAAAATGATGGACCCGACATCTGTCCCGAGGCCTGCCAGATGGGACAGTCATGTACTGATGGATCCACTGTTTCGTTAAGACAGCAAACAGTGTGGTAGTGGGGCTGAACGAGAGACTGGTGAACGACAGTCATTTACCCACGTGTTGGAAGCTGCGGGACGAAAGTCTCAGAATGGAGTAAGGCCAGAACGGGGAACGTCGTTCACAAGGGAACCATTGACCGCCGCACGTTGGATGTCGGTGAGCTCGAAAAGAAGCGACGCCGTGACCTGGCCGTAGTCGACTTGAAGGCTCTGTGACGTCTGGGCAACAAATGTAGTGACGACAGCAGAGAAGAGACCAGCCTATACAACTGTGAGTAAGGAAATGATGACTTTTTGGATATCGCACACACGAAAACCGTTAAAACATCGAAGCCCATCCCGAATACATAGCAAGTACAACGATAGATCAACGCACCTCCAACCTGGAATCCACGCTGCTGCATGCCAAATACTCTGCGAAGTAACTAGTGCAATTGTGGCAAGGAACACGCTTCTGAATTCTCATCTATGTCTAGAGGCTTGGAATTGGCTGCAAGACCATCTGGTGCCTTCAATGTGTCACTTTGAACACCATTGATTGACCTTGTGGCTTTTCTTCGTCCCGAGCTTGGACGGTATCGATGAAAGGCATGGCTATCGAGGGAAAGAAAAGCTGGATAGGTTGCACCCACGATGCCTCCGGTGAGATCCGTGATACATAACAGACGCCGTGGGACTGCAGAATCTATCTGCGTCCATTGCGGCATTGACTACTGGCCTGCAATAACGTCCAGTCCGTCCCTCCACCCTTCTGCCATCTCGGCATCAAATCCAGCGCATTCTTCAAGGTAACGTTCTCCATACCTTGGCCAGCTGGACATAGCTCCTCGCAGCGCCTATCTTCCGGGAATTTCTTTTCGTAAGTCAAGCGGGTCATTTCCTTCACTATGCAGCAGCAAGGACAGCGATAAGCCGACGCGCCTCCTCCAACGCTGCTGCATGCCAAATACGCTGCGAAGCAATTTGCGCCATCTCGACAAGGAATAAGCTGTCGAATTCTCTTCCGAACTCCAAACCCAGAGGGTGGGAGTCTTCCAGTATCTCTCGGTCACCTTGAGGTTCGCTAGGTGGTATTTGAGAGTTTTTGTCGTGAAATATTGCCGGGGATCATGGCTGTCTAGTGGCAGGAAGGAAAGAAAAGAACAGCCCGGACCACTTCAATATTTCGAAGCCTGAGCAAGTTCAAGATCGGGCTGTCGCAACGTAGATTGTCAGTTTCAACATTCAGGAGAGGCTACTTTGCCGCCAACCATTCTTTTTATGCCCGTATTCCTACTTGCGAGAATAAGGTAGTCGACGGAACAGGAAGGAACGTCTCTGCTCTACGCCTAATGATAAGAAATAATGGCTTCCTTCAGTTAAGGGATAATTTCAGCATCAGTGACAGAATCTTCAACTTTGCAGTGATTCTCAGAGTCGGTATTGAAACCCTTCATCACTCACTTGTCGGTCTGCAATTCCTCCCCTTCCCCATTCTCTCCACCCACCATCGCTCTTTCTCTCTACTTATTACCTCTGCACTTTTATTTAACAGTATCCATAAGTAACATCCAACATCTAACCAAGCCAATAATAAGATACACTACGACAACCGACCCTGTCCTTGATCCCCACTCGAACTTCTAAGCATCGGGCTCCGCAAACCCCTCTCAATCCGACTACTATCACCCTGGGTCGGAGTAACAACATTCGACAACGGAGAAGAAGCAGACCCCCCCAACTCCACCTCCTGCCCATCCCCATCGTCCTCGCTCTCCACAGGGGAGGAGCTCACCATCCCGCTCCGTCTCGCCCTCCGCGCATGGAACGTCCGGCTCGCAGTTGCGTTCGAGAACAGAGGGAGCAAATACCGCTCGTCTAGCGCCTGAAACCACTTCCCATCTTCTCCTTGCTGTGGTGCTTGCTGCCCCTGCTGCTGCTGAGTCGACGTCGTAGCCATCGGGAGTGCTTCACCCCCGTCTGATTCTAGTGACTCGCTCGAGGCAGTCGAGAACATGGTGCCGTTACCATTTAGTGGTGACAAGGGCGGTGCCTGCGCTTGGTGATTATAACTGCGCGCACTATAATGGATCCCTATCCTGCGCGGAGACGAAGGCGAATAGGGCGGCTCATCATCCATATACCGTGCCCATTGGCCCCCATTCCCAGTCCCGGACATTCGACGGCTGAACCACGGTGTCCGCGTCGTCTCCTCTTCCTCATCACTGCTCGCCGCTTCGTCTTCCACGCCAGTGCGAATCCCAAGGATCTCAAGCATCCGAGCAGTAGTCCCGCCGAACATAATCACCGTCAGGACTACCACCACGAGGACAGTCGTGCGTAGGAATTCCCGGTTTTCGCCTTTGAACCCAGCAGCGAGGGCTACTCCGACCGCTCCACGCAAACCCGCCCAGAAAAGCATCATCTGGTATGAATGCGGGAGCTCTTCAGTCCTCTGGCCGCGCGCGTGCTTGTGGAAAAAGTTGATAGCTTCGGAAAGTGGGAATACTGCAGCATAGCGCGTAAAAATGACGGCGACGGTGCTGATGGTGATGAAGAGCGGCTTGACGTAGTTGGTCACGCGCTCAGACGTCGGGGCATTGGTGAAGAGGGACATGCCAAGGTAGACGAAGATGAAGTTCTCCGAGAGTTGGGCAAGGGTTGAAAAGATGTATTTTGAGGAGCGTTGCGTGCGTCTGGACATGGTGTGGTAGGCGTAGTGCTTGAGGGTAATACCGCAGAAAAGGAGGGACACGATTCCGGACATGGAAAGACCGTTAGAGAAGAAGTAGCAGGTGTATGCGGAGAGGGCGACCAGGCACGATTCGATGCCTGGATAGAGATTGAGTGAGGAATGTTTGAGCATGAGCGACATTCCAAGGCCAAAGGCTACACCCAAAGCCATCGAAACACTAAATGAGAGCAAGAATATGCCAATTCCATGGAAGATTGACGAGATGTATATTTCGGTCCCATGGAACTGCGACAGTGTTCTGTGATGTAGTGAGCATCTGCTGCCGGACGACATGGCGAATCACGTACTCGTACATGACGATACTGACCGCATCGTTCAACAAGCTCTCACCAAAGATGACCGTGTAAAGTTTCGGGTCAACCTTGTACTGGTTAAAGATGGCCAAGATGGTGACCGGGTCGGTCGCGGAAAGCGTGGAACCAAATATCAGGCATTCGAGAAGTGAGATCTCGAGTGATTCAAGTCCGAGAAAAGAGTAAATGTAAACAAGGACACTGTTCTGTAAGTGATCAATTCCGTTGTCACGAGGGGAAACGGCGATGAATCATACCCCACACCGACAGCTGAGATAAACGTTCCGAAAAAAGCAAACGTGAGTATTGATCCAAAATTTCGGAAGAAATTCTCCTATAGAAAAATGGTTGAAGATTCTTCCAGGCACGATAGATAGAAGAACGTTACCTGTTTGAGCTCATAGCCAGAATTCAGGATAATGGGGGGAAGCAGCAGATTGAAAAAAATCGTATGCTTGAAAGTCTACACGTAAAACCCCTGTTAAATACCATCCCATTCGCCGAGGCACAGACCACGTACCAGCATTTCGCGAATCATCGTCCCCGGAGCAAGTCTAACAATCAAACCCACCGCCATCCCAGCAAATATCGACACCAGTGTCTCGTGTACCGCCCGTATTCGTTTTATCTGCAAATAATACGACGTCCAGAGTGATAACACGAGAAGCATGCAGACAAGGAAGAGAGACCATGATGAATAGAATTCCTCGTCTTCCACGACTGGGGCTTGCGTGGCCGATGGGACTGCCGCTAATACCGTTCGTGATCCGAGCTTGAGAGGCATATCGACGACGAGGAGGAGGAGAAGGATAACCTCTGGCGCCCTTTACTGTGGACTGCAGAGCTCGACGATGTGATGGTGGTGTCTCTGCAACTTGAGCTGATTACGTAACAACTACGGGGCAGAAAGTTGACGCCGGACATAGCCAAATCCGTTCTACTGCGACGCAGCTAGGCTGAATTGAAGGATAACACTAGATTTGTTTGTCACCAGTGGTTTTCGTTTCATTGTCGGCATTTCCTAGACCAGACACTTGACGGAGAATTTTTCACCATGTGCTGCCTTTCGAGAAGAACAACAAACAGCCTGGCATTTTATTAATTTCCCAAGCGTTTTACTCGTCGCAACATCTCCGGTATGTCATACAACCACACAAAGTTATCTAAAGGTTCCTAGTCATACAGTTCCAATACGCGACATTCTCTATGGAAGTTGTGCGCAGGTACAAGTGAACCGACGGCGCGGCATCTTAGTACCCGTCCCAATCGAACTAATCCGATACTCGAGGTCTTCCACAACCTCCAGGAGCCTCGCAACAGTAAGAACCCTCCCCGGCCTTTTCGTGATAACCCCCTACTCGGCCAATCAGTACTCGCTCCCAGCCAAACAAAAACGCAAACTCACCGTCGGCGGTACATCCATATACCAACTAAAATACCTCCCCAGCATCCTAAAATTATCATTCACAATCGCTGCACGCTCCACCAAATCCCGAATATCCACCGCCTTCGCCTCCAGAAACTCATGATAACTAGTAAAGACCCTCCGCTGCGTTCCCTCCCCCAACATCTCTATCGGCGCAACGGACTGCCACCACGGGATATTCTCATACGCCTCTCGCACCCTAGGTATCTCAGCCTCCAGCTCGTCGGATATCTGCTGTCCGTGGCTATGCACCTGCGAGATCAAATCCGAGAGCGAAGGAACACTCATAGCGACAATCTTGAATCGGTACTCCAGGATGTTCACCAAACCGTCGAGCAACTTCCGCAAGATATCATCAACCACCACGCGCCGCTTGGGCATAGTAAATAAACCTGGATCTTGCTCGTACTCAACCGTGGCATTCAACTCGCCAATCGCCATTTTGAACTAACAACACGCGTCAGCCATCACAAAACAAAGCAAAAGAAATGCTCACGTCGCTAATCACAAAAACCATCGACAACGCAAAATCCACACTCCAAAAACTATCATACTGCCTCTCCACATCCCTCTGAAGCAACGCAAACGCCGTAAGACTATCCAACAACGCCCTCCTTTCCTCATCGCGCGCAACATAATCGAATATCCTCGCATTCCGCAACCCATGGACCACCCTACCAGTACATTAAAAAAACAAATGCCTCAAACCGAAAAAAAAAACTCACTGCTGATCCTTCTTCTCCCTCGCGCCGCCTTCAAGCAAATCCATCATGACATGGACATGCTGGAGGTGCGAATAGATGATCTCCGCCGCGTCCGCGATATCCATACAAGACGCGCAGCAGCCTGATGATGTCCAGGGTAGGTAGGGAATGGCACCGGCAAGTGCCGCTAGGTGCACCTCATCAAAGGATGAAAGAACGAGATCTTGAAGTGTGGTCGCAGACGAGCAGTACCATGACGCCCAAGTAGGATATGTCGAGCATAGATGAGAAATCGCCATTAACGCCGAGAGTCCCCCTAGCAGAGCGATGAAGAAGAGTCTTCCGATAAACCTCGCGATTGAGATGCGTGGTGGTGGTGGCATGATGATAAATGAATTCAGTGAAGCTCTTGGATTCTCAGTTTAGAGAGGAAGAGCACTGGGAGAGCTCGTGAAAGCCGCGTTTCTGGCACGTGTGTCGGGATCTATGTCTTGCCTTGGGAGCATTATCGATGAACAAAGACAATGGCTCTTTGTCCTCTTGATAACAAGATAAATGTTGCGGCGTCTAACATGTTCCTAGCTTTGTCCTACGATACTGCCATCAAATGCCATATTATTGCGTTAGAAAAAACCTTAGAACAACGGTTCTCGTCGGTCCAATGTATACAGCGATCACAGCCAACCCGATGGACGGAAAGCAACTTGGCCGTTCGTCTGTATTTTATACATGCGGAACAGAAAGGTCGATAAACGTCACGTAGATACATCCGCCATTGAATACAATATTCGTCCTATGACGCACAGAAATCAGAACACATAGAGGGAGAGAAGCCGCACGAGTAAGGATATCCAGGCAATCATCTCATTTGAGACTTCAGCCCGGACTTCGGAGATACCTATACAGGCCAATGAATTAACCAGCGCGAAGACTAGTCGATTAAAAAAATATGTTGAAACATGGGCCAGAGACGTAACATGGGAGCAAAAGGGCGCATGCAGATACGTCGCGACTTCCTAGCGTCGGCTTAGACATACCTGGAAGAATTCCATGGAAATGTCAAAGGTGTGGACGTACGCCCGAGCCACCCTGGGATGAGATCTCATGAAGGGATGACGAGCGATCCAAATGAATGTGCCCCCGTCCCTAAAATTCCAGGGATGTGCTATGCGAGGTACGCACTCTGCGGGATTAGCTCGGTTCGCTAACGCTAACCGCCGGCAGCGAGTGGCGGGCTTTCCGAGTCGGACAGGTCACCAGTCATGGTGTTCGACATGCATGAAGAGCGATGCCTCGGAAGAGCGATTCCATTCGGGCCTAGAAGACCAACAAAACTGGTACTCGCCATACATTGGCTTCATGAAAAAAAAAAAAAGTAATTTGAATTTCCAACCATATGCCAAGGCTAACATCTAGGGTAGATGACAGCGTGGCCTGAGAAGACGCGTCCTGAAGGGAGCGAAAGACTCGGTCGCAGCCTGAGACAGGGTACTTGACACCCCAATCTGATGGACCCAGAGAGTGCGATGGGATAGAAGTTTTCATTGGTCTACGGAGCTGTTAAGGAAATCTGGAGCTTCGAATTGGCAAGGCTACCAACAAGACTCGCACGCTCAGAATTTGGATGATGCCATCGGCCATTGAAACGGCCCCCATTGGACACAAGTTGACGTATACAGGCGCAGCGTTACGACCTACGAACCGCAATGGGCCAAGCAGAGTTGCGGTTTCGACGACGGCCCAACATTCTACACGTCATTATCTGATGCTTAGCAAGTCGGCGGAGAAAAGTGGATACCAGAAAATTTAGATGGATGGGAGTGAGATCATATCATGCTGTAGGCATCGATCGAGTTCGCATGAATTTGAAAGATCGTGCCGAAGGAGACACTGAGAAAGGTATCCATACTCAGTTTCAATGCAAGGTGACAGAGGCCGCTCCGGTGGCTGGTATTGGGGAAGGGGCGCCACGGGTGCTGCAGCACAGATTACACGACAAAAATGTGCTCGTAAGCCCACTTGAGCTAGAGTTCACCGCATGCAAGCGAACACTCGAGTTCGTGTGCTATTACCAGGAGAAGGAATTTGGAGCGCAGTTCATATAGCCTTGGGCTGATATAAGTGCGTTGTACAAGCGACGCGGATTAGCTTGTGGATAGCGGATGAGGGAGACGCCCCATAGCACGGTCAGATCAGTAAGAAAATGAGATCTTGCGTAGAACGATTTTATCGATATCGTGCCTGAGATGGTCTGCTCATAGAGCAGAAGCAGCGACTGCTTCATGGGCATTAGATTTGATGACATCTGTGTCTTTCACATCCAGTATATGTGAGTCGAATGTACCGAGCTGGTGCTGCAACCAAAGAAGTTATAGCTTGCAGTCTTGAAGACATCTGGACCATTAACTTAGCCAACACTGGACTGGGTAAAGTCAGGATCACCAGAGGCTCACATTTCCAAAGGCAGTAACAGAGATTCCCTACTATAACAGATCACAAAGTTGTTACATTACAGTTCATATGGGTACCTGTCAATGCCACAGATCAGATCAGGCAGACCATGCACAAAAGTCCACACTCACATTTTCGACCAGTGACTTCAATGTGGGATTCACATGGTGGCTCAGAGACAGAGGAACCTGACCTGCAGCTTCAAGATTCTTGTGGTCTGTAACAACATCGATGGAGTCGATGACGCCCTCTAGTGCCACCAGTGTCCACCTTGAACACATTTACCACATCCACTTTGTGGACTGGATCATGCTCGATCCGGGCATGTACACAGCCTGGCCACAAGATTAGCAGCTAATCGACAGAGGAAATGAGGATACACACCTGTCGAGCCTCCCGCATACCTCCCTAAAATCCCCTCCGCCCGTAACGATATCTCTTTCTTCGCCTTCTCCCCTGTTATCCATAGCTTCGTACACTTCGCATCAAGAGACACAGCGAACATGTCATCCCACCTCATTAGCACCGTTGCCCTCCTCCTGCGTGCCCACGCCAGGGAAAACATCCACCTGCACCTCTCTACCAGCTCAGAGCTCACTAAACCATCCTCGATGAGCTTTTGCAACAGAGTCTCATACTTGGGAGCAGAGGCAATATACCACAGTGGAAGTGACCATGGCAAGCCATTAGGCAGCAGAAGGTCCATGCTCGTACCGGTGTCGCACGCGTTCGCAAGACTAAACTGCACCTCCCTTGACAAAGAGTCGTGTTGGTGGTAATAGAAGAATCCCTCTGTCCTTGGAGGAAATACAAGATACTTTGAAGACACATGCACATCCGTGGCGTAGTGGGCCTGGAACCAGCATTTTTTCCTCTTCACGATGGTCTGAATGCGAGGCTTTTTGAAGGAGATATCATGGATATCGGTATCCTTGATGCGTGCAACGTCCAATGTCGAGATGATGCGGTCGCGGCCGCGAGTCTGGATGTATTCTGGCTGGAAAAAGACGGTTATATGCGTCAAAAGAGAAAACGAGACCGTACCCCAAAACCAATGCGGGAAGAGAGGTGACGGCGAGGAATAAAATGGATAGCACTGTAAGGTCGACAATATACGAAGGCACTGGCGTCCAGGGAGAGCAACTCAACAACTCAAAAAGCAGGGCTGGGCAGGGCGCTCGACAGCGGTCCGGAGTCCGGACGTCACTAATCACATGAAAGTGTTTTCTAGTACTATTTTCTAGGGCCCTAGGACCTTCCGCTGTGTTGAAAGTTTGGTCGCTACGTATTGTAAGTTGCCTCGCAAAATTGCGAGGTGCGACTATATATTGTGACAGATTCTGAGTCCCTAATCCTACTCATTTTACGCCGCACTGGCGGTGACTGTCTTTATGGGGGTGAAGCACCCCTAGTCTGACTGAATTGAAATCATCCCACATCTATTTTCCGCGCGCCATTTAAGAACAAAAAGCCTTTTTGCAGTCATTATTTATTGCTTATTGATCCCTTGTATCTTCTTCCATCATCGTCGCAGGCATTCAGTTTGGTGAATGTCTACGGCTTTTTCGTGATATTATCTTATGAACAGTTCTCTAGCAATCCTTACAGCCGTAGTCTCGGCAGAGTTTCTCTGGCAATATACCTCACGGTATGTAAAAACACCATGGTTTACCACCTTGGGCTAACACTTCCACACAGATCTTCGAGTCAACATGGACATACTATCCCCAGAACTTACGGATTTGATAATCGATGAACTTCACAACGACGTGGTTTCTCTCGTAGCGCTGCGCGCCGTCTCTAGAATTTTCTACCCTCGAACCACCTATTATCTCTTCTATCGTGTCCACGCGTCAACCAAATCCCAATTTGACAGCTTAACGACCGGATTCCAGGCATCCCCGTTCTTCTGTACCTTCGTTAAGCACTTTCACATCACTTTTCTCTCAGATGAGAATGATCCATACCATAACGACCAGCTCGTGGAACTCAAACTTCTCCAAGAAACCGACCGCAACCGTAAGGCGATCGACGAAGCGAAGGTTCGGAACCACTTTCGCAGGGCCGCCAGAGACATCCCCTTGGACCTTCTTCCCAATCTCGAAACGTTCCGCATCACTCACTCACCCCAAAGCTCCGGCTGGAAGTCCACCACTGTTACATCCTCACCCTCGACAATATGAAGGTAGACATGGACGACTTTCGACAGACCCTTTCTGACTTGCTCGCTCTCACGCATCTGTCAGGAATTCGAATTAAAGCAGGGCGGATAAGGTCACTTATGTCACTTCCATCTTATCCGGTGTATGACGAAGAAAATGGATCCATTGAGCGGGTTGACCTCGGTCCATCCTTAGAGGTGCTGGACGTTTATAACTCACAAATCTTCCATTTCTTCGTCGATCAAGAGGCCTGTTTCGCCCTTCACAGTCTGAAGAGGCTCTCTGTCCAATATCTCAAGTTGGACCACGCACCGTCAGCGAATCAGCTTCTCGTTGCTGCTAGAAATATCCTCCAAGAACTTGTCCTGTGTGATACTTGGGTTGGAAGTAAGGATCAATAATACCCTTCATATCGTTCTGGCTCTTACTGACCATCTCTGACGTAGTGAACGACACCTGGCACGCTCATCAGCTCCTAGACCTCTCCTTCGGATCACGCAACCTAGCATGGTTCTTCGCCTGCCTCACTCTCACCAATACCCCATCGGTACTAACTCACCTAACCATCCACATCGATCCAGAGAACGACTTCCCCAAGTTTTTCGACAACATCAGTATCTGGGCACCACTGGATGCCTTGCTAACAAGACCGCGGTTCGCTAGGTTCCATGCGCTCGATATTTCTTTGGTTTTGAAAGAGAAAGATGCGAAACAGAACAAGAGTAGTATCAAACCTGGAAAGATGCAGGAGTTTGGGGAGATGAAGCGGAAGGATATTCTGAAGAGGTTGCCAGCGTTGAGTGCGAGGAAGAAAGTGAAGTGTAGTGTGCAAGTCATAGATGACTAGGGGAGAAGACGCGGGCGGATACATTTGTTTATTTCGTATAAAATTCAATGTTATTTACCTCGACGACATGATGTTGATTTGTGATAGATCCTCAGGTGTTTCCTATAGAGGGAGTGAGGCTGAGAGTGGAGTCCAAATCTCACTTTAGAGTCCAAGCACATGAGATCCAGGTGTGACAAGTAAAATCCAGAAACAAAATTACAGGAGGTTTGTCTAGCTTGCCTTCTTTTGAGTAATATTAAGGGGTGAAATTGTTCAACGGTATCACGCAACATTACCGTCTTGAAACGGCCTCTGACAGTAAGAGTAGTACCAAAATGTCCTTGGAGCATTCCAACGTGACTATATAGCTAGCGAGATACGAGTCGTAAATTAAAGAAAATAGGAAAATAACAAAGGGGTTGAATCCTCGCATATATACAGTAGCTTGAGCATTGATCCTGAGTGTCATATTTGTGGTAGCACAGAATAACTCTCTGGATAGTTCTGTAGGGAAAGTGGGAATATTACGAGGATGGCTGGGGGAATCTTTGAATGAGCTGGATGAGATAATGGACACAACGCCACTAACAACGCCAACAGAACTAGTCCATAAGCTCTTGAGGACGATTTCGAGACCCAAGCCTGCTTTCGAAGCAGCGATCCCGATACCAGAGCCAGCATCAGAAATAATGTCGCTGATGGGCTTCAGAAGAAGATAGATCAAAGTCGCAATGAATACAGGGATTATTAATGCGAGTCCGAGCACCGACGCCAGATTGAAGAGATTGTACGTGTGCCGGAGAAGGACAGGTCGGGCGTCGGCAGCCTGGGGAGAGAGGCCGAGAGTAGAGTAAGAATCTCGAGCTTTAGAGTTCAAGCGCCTCAGATCTAGAGAATTTCGATCCTGGGACATGATGGAATGAGCCTAAATAGATGAAATGCTCTACTTTTATACGTGCTCGGGTGCCTGCATGATTACGGGAAGCTAGCGTCGTGGTAATCAGAGGAAGGCACCACGTAGGGAGAGTAAAAGCAAGGCTCTTGTTCTGTGTTGCTGAGATGGGGGGAGAAAACCCACGAAGCAGTATCTATGGTGGACAACGATCACTAGCAACCATCATCTGTACAGAGAAGAGAGTCCTCGGATGGGAAGTCATTGATACATAAGCTAAGGAATAAACGGAAGAAATCAAGGATCTTGTTCCACTTTGCGACTGTGGCTATTTGGTGGCTATTGGGCCACAGCGGTGTTAATTGCGCGCGATGGTCCGTGAGATCATGTGACATTACAACTCCCCCCCAGGTACGAACAGGATTGAACCGTTTTTCACGCGCTACTGAATCTTGTCCTTCTTCTTTGCTTGCATCTCTATCCCCATCCCATAAAGATTTCCTTAATTTTATGGTTCGAGTTCTCATTCAGATCTGCATTTTCGCCGTGCTTGAAGGATTATGTGCCTTGACCTTGATATTCACTCTTTGTGGCGCGGCAAACTATTCAGAATCCAGTTACTGCACATCTGTGTCAGCAATCATTTATAGACTTATTAGGTTGGATACTCAGCCGACTTCAAGATCAACTGCCAGTCCCAGCTGTACATCAAAGGAAACTGCCTGAACGCCACTGTCACGTCTCGAGCCGTCCAAAAGCACCTTTTGCACGTTCACTTTCTTATGGATCTAGTCAGGGGAACAGGATTGCCTCCTGGAAAATTCTTCGACGCAAAGTACTCGTGCGCTTTTTTCTCCATGTCATGCTAATTATCACATACTCACTCAAGTCCGATTCAACAGAATTTTCTACTATGCCACAACTAGTGGTCTTCTAGTTTTTTTCCAAATATGATAAAGAGCGTAGGCCATTTGTGGACGACATCAATCTTTTTGCCTCAAACAATCGGCGATCAAGCTTCATTACAGTCATTACCTGGCGACTCAGTTCCTCAGATACTTTCGACCGAGCGCTGCTGCTCCAGTTTACCCTGCTGTGAGTCTCATCAATCACTCGTATCAAAACTCACTTAATTCATCGTCGTCCGTCAGTTTAAGCGCACAATAGATACATCGGGGACCGTTGTGGAGTTCGAAAAGTCAACATCTTATTCACAGATGCAAGAATATCATATCATTCAAATAGATAGCATTCTGCGACAATCACTCCGCCAGTTCTTCGATAATTTTCAAGAGGTCTTCGCCAAACTTGCTGTCGAGACCCATCCTACGCTAGTCTTCTTCTCCGAAATTCTGTCATTCGGTCAACACGTCTCAGAGGAGCTAGACTCGGAACTTCCCCGGGTGCAAACCGTTTACCGTAACATCCCTTGGTGGGACAGCATACCACGTCCCAATTTCCTACGACGCTTTTCTCAGCGTAACATCTACGAAACATACTACGAATTCTTAACGGGGGAAGCCTCAAATATTCGGGACCTTGTTGAATAAGCTTCCATTATTCTTGACTACCTCACAGCCCTTAATGATTATTTCAGGTGGTATGCAACTCGGCCAGTGAGCATTTCCTTGCTATCTTTGTATAATCCCCGGCTAATTGGGATCACCAGGATACACTAAACGTGGGTTCGCTTGAAGGAGCACCTACTGTTGCCGAGTTTTCTCGTCTTCTGGAGGAATTCCAGGATCATGTCAGATCGGATTGGGATTTTCAGGCTTGTAATATCCCACCGCCGAATCATTGGACGGACTCAACGTCTTCCATTTAGAAATGGTGAACCCTCATGACGGAAATGTTGGCATCGCTATTTTCTTTCGTGCACAATTCATCGACCGTTTTCTAGATAAAGTATACCATGGCAATCTTAAATTATTTTGTTGGACTCATTCAGATCTAATCCGAGTCTGGCTAGGATGTCGAGTGTGTACTCATTCCCAGGCTTCAAGGTAAAAAAGAATCAGCCATCACGACTCGAAATGATACCTCCAATTGTACCAAGGTTTACCGGTGTGCCCACGGTGATCGTGCCATTTTGTTCACCAGGACAAAAGATCAGAATCGGAACTTTCTGTCCGGATTCCAGTTTAATCCTAGCGCGCTACCCATAGCAGAGAACTATACATTGACTCTCTAACCAGACAGATTTCGGCCCTGATCAACACAGTTTTCTCTTCACATTGCATTTAGTACTACATCGATCATTTCGAGCCGCACCTAACCATAATGAAAGCTCGCCTTATCCGGCCTGGCCCCCGCTAAAACATATCGAGCATCCTCAGCACGTCAGCCTTGGAATTCAGTCAGTTGTCATATTTCCTAATGACACAGCTGTGATTGGCGGAGGGGTGATGTCTCGAGTTTTCACAGCCCCACCGATGTCTCGGAGGAAGGCCTTGGTGCTCAAGGAACGAACACATGAAATGGACTTGGTTTTGCCGTAACCCCGCTGACCATTCATATTGAGCCTACAGCTGACTTCCTACCCTTCCTCATGCAAAAGGATTTTGTCCATGCTTTTGCTCGGGAACAATTTAGTTTCTTCGTATGGATAGACTTGGAGCCGCATCGAAGCAGAACTTCTTAAGATTGAAGGCGGCAAGGCTAGACCTAGTGTATTTTTTGAATCATGTATACTAGTAGGGATGTCGAGGACCTATCTCGTCAAATACGTTCTTCCTTTGACACGTCCCTCATACCGGAGAAAGACATTTCCCGAGTTTCACGTATGACCCACCATATTTCCGATGGAAACATGTATGTTGTAACATGAAATGGGTCGTAGCATCCCTGGACGTCGTTCCTGGTATGTCCGGCGGTTAGACGCGGTGCGTCAATGCTATTCATCAAGCTTCTCATGTTGCAGGAATACATATCCAGACGCCGCGGAAGGTAGAAGGATTAACAAGGCTGGACACCATAAGGCAGGTAGTGTGTAAACGCGGCGGTGGCATGATTTCGCGAGTGTGACTGTGCAGAACCTAATCATAGCCGGTCGCTTGGAATTAATGGAATCAATTGAAACCCGGAGCTTCTTCCCCGGACATACCTTCTGTGCTTCGATGGTAGCGAGGCGAGATGAACTGATGGTGCTCAGTGAAATCTGATGGTCAGTGGTCCTCTAGAACAAAGTACAGTCAACTCTCTCATAACCCATACCTCTTGTAACCCATACTCCCCCATACCCTATAGATTTTTGGACCTGCTGGCCTTGTTACGGGGAAATTGATGCTATAACCCATACCATGGCCATACCCCATACCCCATAGATACTTAGTCATTGTGCTGACAGTAGTATCCAGCAATGTCAATTTAAGGGAGCTGGATGGTTGCTACACTGGGGCTGTTGTCAGAGAAATGTGAAAAACTCTTGTGTGCTGTTATCAACTGACCCCACTGCCCTTTCTGTTGTGCTAGAAGTCCTAGTATGACATTTCCAACTATTCATGAATTGAACAAAGCCCTCCAAACCTGCAAAGGCAAAACTGAGGCAAAACAAGAAAATATTCTTGCTAGACTCACTGAAAAGGAACCAATCTCAGCAGAAGAGGTGTGGTTGGATGAAGCAGGGAATTTTGTTGATAAGGACATTGTCATCAAGAAGCTTGAGTCAGCATTGGATTTGTTAAGCCCAAGTGACACGTGATCTGACAACACGTGATAGACGACGTGTCCCTTCGCACTTCGAGGGATCACGCGAATTCACTTGTGATGTTGCTCTTGTTCGGTGTGTCACAAGGCCACGTAGTGGCTCGAGAGTAGGATGGTATAAGTATAAACTTTAGCTCGAAGCTGGGGTATACCAGCGAGAGCGGTCGGTCTTAAATACTGTACAGGTAGTGCTAATATTACGACTACTTATTGTGTCGTCCTGTGTCCATAGTGCCCATTGTCCTTGAGCATCGTTGTTGTACATAAAAGGGTAATTGTGCGTCGTCGAGCGTCGTTGTATCTAGGCAGCATAGTTGTGCTTACTAAGCCCTTCCCATGGTCTCGTGCTATGACTAAGCATAAATAGGGGTAAAAAGGAAAAGAAATGGAAAAATCGTAACATTACCCCCTCGTTAAGACCATCGTCCCGATGGTTTAATTAAGGGAGAGTTCATAGTCATGTATGGCTGTGTCGGCGTTCATGTATTTCTCATTGATCCATTGGTTGGATTCCAGGCCGTAACCTTTCCAACTTACGAGGTAGTCGACCGTTGTTGTCATGCCTCCCCCACGGGCTTTTACTTTTCGTAGTTTGTGGTTTAATACCTGATCGATTTCGTAGTGTTCCTCGTCACCGATCAAGTCTGGGGGCGGTGGTGGCGGTTGTTCCTGGTTCGGAAAGGCAGGCTCAACGTATGGTGTCAATAGGGATTCATTGAATACGTTGTGAATTTTCCATGTCGCCGGTAAGCGTAGTTTATAGGTGGATTCTCCGATTTTTGTAATGATCGGGAAAGGTCCTGTACGCTTGTCGGAGAGTTTGCGTTTCGGCCGTGGCAGGTGGAGGTTCATCGTATCAAGCCAGACTTTGTCGTGGACGTGATATTCATGTGCGGGGTGTCGATGTTTATCATAGTGTAGTTTCATGGCTGAGGCGGCTTTCTCCAGTGCCTTCTTTGTTTCTGTATGTATTTTCTCCATTGTCATGGCAAAGTCGGTGGATGCTGGAGTCGTTGTTTTATGAAGACTCGTCTGCGTCAGATGTGGGTGTCTACCGTGGTTTACGAAGAAGGGGGTCTGGCCCGTGGCGGAGTGTACTCTGTTATTGTGCTGGAAAGCCGCGAGTGCTAGCCACTCGACCCAATCGTCTTGTCTGTAGTTGATGAATAGCCGAAGGTATTTTTCAACTTCCTGGTTTGCGTGTTCGGTCTGGCCATCTGTTTGTGGATGGTATGCCGTTGATGCGTTGGGTGTTATGTGTAACAGTTTGTATAGGTCGGTGAGAAATTTGGAGACAAATTGTGGTCCGCGGTCTGAGATGACCACTTGCGGCATTCCGTGTTTTGCGTATACTTCGTCCCGTAGAATCTTCGCCCATCCTTCCGAACTTAATTCTGTCGAACATGCGATCGGAATGATCGCCTTGGAGAAGCGATCGACTATGACGATGATCGCATCATAGCCGTTGCAGTCCGGTAAGCCGGTAATCATGTCCACAGATATATGAGTCCATGGCTGTGCCGGTACCTCATTAGGGTGTAGTGGCGCCGCTCGTGGTTGTGTGGATGCTTTCCCTCTCTGGCAGGTTTCGCAGCCTTTGACGTAGGCCGTAACGTCATTGATGAGTTTAGGCCACCAATAATCTCGTAGAACGAGTTCCTTTGTCTTGGCAATGCCTGGGTGCCCTGCTGTGGCATGGTCATGGTATATGGCGATGATGTCGCCACGGAGACTTTTGACACGTGGAATGTAGATCCTTCCATCGTAGTGGATCATCCCCTCTTTCTTTGTTAGTCCCCACTCGTGGTTTAGCGAGGCGGCGATCCTTTGATCCCACTGATGTGGGTCTCGAGTTGCGCTTTTGATTCGTTCATGTATCTCCTCCTCCGTGGGCATTATCATTGCTCGAAAGTGCTCGGGGCGGAGGATGACGACTCCCTCATTGTCATTTCCCCCCTGATCGTGGTCCGCACGGCAAGAGAGGAGGTCGGCTTTTTTGTTGGCGACTCCGGCTTTATGATGGAGTGTATACTTGTATTGGGCGAGTTCGGTGACCCACCGGGCTTGTCGGCGGTTCAATTTTTGAGGTTGTCGGAAGTATCTGAGATTCTGGTGATCGGTCCAGATCTCGAAGATTTCAGCTGCTCCGATCAGGTAGTGACGCCACTCTTCAAGGGCGAGCATTATCGCGAGTAATTCTTTGTCGTAAATCTCGTAGTTCCTTTCCATTACCGTCAATGCCTTTGAGAGGAAAGCGACAGGTCGCCATTTCTTGTCCTGTTCTTGGGACAAAACGGCTCCTATGGCCCCCTCACTTGAGTCGGCCTCGACGCGGAATCTGCCCTCTTGGGACGGTATGACAAGGACTACATCCTCCGCCAGTCGTCGTTTTAGTTCTTCAAAAGCGTGTTGCTGGGATACACCCCACCCCCAAGGAGCATTGCCGGTCAGCTGGGTCATGGGTCGTACAATCTTGCTGTAGTCTCGTATGAATCTCCGGTAAAAGTTGGTGAAGCCCAAGAAGGATTGTAGTTCCTTCTTTTTGGCGGGCATCAGCCAATCGACTACTCCTGCGACCTTTATTGGGTCCATGCGAATGCTCCCTTCACTGATGATTACTCCGAGGTACTCGGTTTCCAGCACCTCGAATTCACATTTTTCCGCTTTGAGGAACAGTTTGTGTTTCCTCATGAGGGCGAGTACCCGTCGAACCAGACTTCGGTGTTCCTCCCTCGTCTTGGACATGATGAGAATGTCGTCTAGGTAAATGGTGACCTTTCCGGTGGCGATGAGATCCTTGAAGATATCATTCATCATCCATTGAAAGGTGGCCGGGGAGTTGGTCAGGCCAAAGAACATTACCGTTGGCTCAAAGAGTCCTCGGTTGGTCCTGAACGCTGCCTTCCATTCGTCCCCTTCTTTGATCCGGACATTGTTGTACCCCCAGCGTACATCGAGCTTGGTGTAATATTTAGCCCCTCAGAGTTTATCCATCAGTTCGGAGATTAGGGGTAGGGGATATCGATTTTTGATTGTCATCTCATTGAGCTTTCGGTAGTCTTGGACGGGTCGAAGTTTGCCATCCTTCTTTTTTACAAAAAAGAAGGGTGACGCCATAGGGGATTT